GGGGGGGGGGGGGAGGCCAGACTCACTCATTGGTCATCTGCACCACCTTCTCGATGGCGGTGTAGCCGGCCGCCAGGAAGTGCTCTGTGTACTGCTGCATCTTGATGGATTCGAGCCACTCGGACACCGTGCGAAAGGGCACGCCCTCTGAGCCACTGGTGCTGGGCAGCCGGATAGACACGCTGCAACAGGAAGCACCCACCTGCCAGTGAGGCACTGCCGCATCCAGGCTCCAAGCCTGCTGCTCCCTAAACCTGGGCAATTCGCCCAGCTGCCCCGTGCCTCAGTTTCCTTACCCGGGCAACGGGGAAGCCAGATCAGGCAGGGTTCAGGGAGACAGGCTGGCGCGGCGCGAGCCCTCAGCGTTCATGGCTCCTGCTGCCCCCCTCTACCCCCGCTGGCAACGCCACCACCAATAACCACAAAATAATGAAATGTTAAGATTCAGGTTCCTGGGGGCACAGCCCCAGCCTGGCCACCTGCCAGCACATAAAACACTTAATCGCCCTGTCTCAGCTTCCTCATCAACAAAAGGCGGATAATTACAGGACCCATCTCATCGGTTGTTTGAATGAGTTAAAACATGTTAGGCACGGCGCACACTGCCCAACACATTTCCCATATATGTCGATGGCGTCCATTAGCATTACCTGAGCCCCTGTCCGGTGTAAGTAAAGCCCCCGTGTAAGTGCCGAGCCCCCTGTCCGCTAGCCCTGGCCGGCCGCTGCAGTGAAGCGGCTCAGGAGTCAAAAGTAGGGGCCGCCATGCACAGAGGATATGGAACTAACCGGGGGTCAAAGTCAGCCAGGGTCTTGAGGGAGTCAGGAGCTCGGATGAGCTTGTCGAGGATGCTGACGATGTCGGCGAACTTGGGGCGGCGGGCGCGTTCCTGCTGCCAGCACTGCATCATGAGCTGGTAGATGGCGGAGGGGCAGTCCATGGGGGTGGGGAGCCGGAAGCCTTCGTTGATGGCCTTCATCACCTGGGAAGGCAGGATGGTCGGGCGTGCCTTCACAGGTGCCAGATCTGGGCAGGGTCCCCGAGAAGGCCCCGTACATGCAGGTGGGCAGAGTAGGGAAGGGGAGCCCCGGAAACAGAGGGGATGGGCCTCCTTTCTTGACTCAGACCACAACTTTCACAGGTACAGAGGGCTAGTGCTAAGGGTCTGTCTCCAGAGCCCCACGGAGGAAGGGGCTCCTGACCCTGCACCCTCCAGGGCGCCCCAGGCTGAAGCCAGCCTCCCTCCAGTCTCGGGACATCTGTAGGAGACACTCCTTCAGCTAGGAGCTAGACACGCCTCCTTCCCCTTCCGTGTCTCAGCCTCCAGGCTGCGTGAGGCACCAGCCATGTGCACGCACACACACAAAACGCATATATCACATGCACACGCGGGTGCACACACGCAGGAACGCAGACACCCTCCCCCCCCACCCCTCCATCAGCTTGTTTCCTTGTCCTTCCACTGACTATAATCAGGGACTGGGCCTGGAGCCCAGCACAAGGCCTGACACATACTAGGCCCTCAATAAACATTTACTGAATGCACCAGACGAAGATTAGCCCCCAAAATTCTTCTCTGCCCAGCCGCTGGAGTTCAGAAACAGGCAAAGAGTTTCAGTTCAGCTCAGGAGAGGGCGGGCAGGGCGAGGGGGCCTACCTCATGGTTTGACAGCTCCCAGTAGGGCCTCTCGCCATAGGTCATCACCTCCCACATGACGATGCCATAGCTCCACACGTCGCTGGCCGAGGTGAACTTGCGGT